ACGGGTGAATATAAATAGTCAAACTTAAAAGATAAAATGAATAAACTAAAAAGAGAAACCATGAAAAATAAGAATTCATTGAAAAATAACAACAAAAACTTGAGCAATTAAGAATATTACAATCATTAATTCACTGCCAATGATATGGTTGGGCTGGACTCCTATTTTAGTCGCTACAATGCTACTCCGTATAACATATCTATTAATATTAACTATTATTAATATATATATATATATATATATATATATATATATATATATATATATTATTAGGGGAAAGATCAAGTACAAAGTGTGCTTATTGTGCAAATATTTGTACGATGCACCTTGACGTTATTTGCATTGCATATTGAGGTTCAAAGTATTGCACATTATAAAGTCATAAAAATAGCAGTTGCACATTAAGGTGCAACGAGTTGCACCCTAAAAAGTTGAGTTTTATTACAAAAATGCCACCTTGCCTTTATGTCCTTTGGATCAACTCATCGGACGGTCATGATGAGTTTGTACTTTGTAAATTAAGAAGACTTTGTATTTGATCTCTATTCTATATTATTAAATAGATATCATTATATATATGTATGTGTGTGTATGTGTGTGTGTATACGGGTCAACGGGTGTGGGTGAATGGAGCGGTTGACGCGGGTGATTGGTTGGATGAGTGTTCATCCACACCCGATCCAACCCGTCTTTCAATCCACCCGTCATCCATTTTTCATCCATACTTCTTCGGGTTTTCATCAATATTTTCGGTTCGGGTTGACCGGATATCCGCGGGTGCGAGTGATATTGCCAGCCCTATGAAGCTGTCTTCCCTGTGGAGCGCCGTCGGCGCCGTCAAAGGAACCCGAACTTGGAGCCCCTCCTTCCACGGCCAGGTGAAATTTCCTGGCGGCATCTTCGTCGGGGTTAGATTTTAAGAGAGTCCAGGAAGCTGCTGAGGAGGAAGAGGATGCGATGGAGGAAGAAGCCGGTTTTGATGTAAAACATCGCCTAGGAAGGTTCATAAATTTAGATGAAGAAGATTGAAAATCATTGAAGTAAGGTTTGGAATAGTAAGAAAAAGAGTTGTACATACCGTTAATTAGAAACCGGGTGGGAGCAGTGCACGGGTAAGAAGTTAAGAACGAGGTGGGTGTTGCTTGTTATCTACGTGTTCAATTAATAACATGGAAAATAGAAATAGAAACAATGAGTAAGGAGGAAAATGCATACGCAGTAAATCCGAGCCCAACAATGGCGTTGTCTCCTTAAGACGATTTTGCCCGACTAACGTAGCAAATGTCTCCCAGGATAGAACGGATTCGTTCCCGTTGACGGGACTCCGGCGAACTCAAAGATGCAAGGATTTTTCGGATGAGTAAGAAGGGCGAATGAGAGAGTATTTTTTTTGATAGCAATCTACGGATTCCTCTTGTGCAAACTTCATTGGGTATTTATAGAGTTTTTGGCCAGGAAACTCTAACCCAAAGGGCACCTATTGAATGAAAGGTGATGACCTTTCTTTCAATTTGAAGAGTCATGCCTCTCCTGCAAAGAGATTAATCCAAAAAACGGAACAAAAATATATAGTCTTTAAGAGGACTGTTTGACCGATCCCGGTCCCGAACCCGACCCGACCCGAGCCAGCCGACTTACGGCGGCATTGTGAGCGGGTTAAATATAATTTCACGCTTATCTTTCGGGGAACAATTTCTCATTCATTTCAGAATGGTTTTTCCAAATAATATTAATGACCATAATATTAATTTGTAAAACCATTTTTCCAACAATCCCCCCACATGAATGGGAAATTGGCTTAAAGACAGGAAACATATTGGAATTTGACATGGGAAGATGGGAACTCTGCATAGGGTTAGGTAGTCGTGAAACTTTGAACCTACCTTAGTGTATATCCATCGGATTTACCGGCCAATCAGTGACCATTTCTGCCTTGAACTGTCAGCCTTAGCGTAAACCTAGACAATGAATAACACACAGAGCCCCGAGTGCATCTTTGGTTCTCACGTTTGTGTTCGTTTCGGCCTTGAACACCTCCTGGTTCAGCTAGTGTTTTCAAGAGTATATCGTGCACCGGAGAATTTATCTCGTGCCATAGACTCTCATAGAAGCGGCCTTCTTCCACCAGCATAGGTGATCTCTATGGAAGGTATCATGTCATACCTTACTTGAACTTATCGAGATATAGAGATCATTAAAAGCGTAACTTACCCTAAGTGCTCATGACATGAGTGTACTATATCTTGGCTAGTACCGCCCGAGCCAGTCCACAGTTGTGTTTTCCCTTTGAACCTAATTATGAGGCACTCTCAATAATAGGTAGGGTTTCCCCATGGACTTTTTATTGGATCATTGGCCGTAGGCCCATCGCTCTCCTTGACGTTTCGACCAACTCTCTCGGTAGAGGTTTGGTTAGCGGATCCGCAATATTTTCTTTCGACTTAACATAGTCAAGAGAGATGATCCCATTTTTAATTAGTTTTCTAACGGTATTATGTCTACGACGGATGTGTCTAGACTTACCATTATAAACTGCATTCCTTGCCCTTCCAATTGCAGCTTGACTATCACAATGAATGGATATTGGAGGGACAGGCTTTTCCCAACAAGGAAGATCTTCCAAAAACTCTCTCAACCATTCAGCTTCTTCTCCAGCCTTATCTAAGGCAATGAATTCAGCTTCCATGGTAGATCTTGCAATACATGTTTGTTTGGAAGATTTCCACGACACAGCACCACTTCCAAGGGTAAACACATATCCACTTGTTGATTTTGTATCCTTGGAATCGGATATCCAATTTGCATCGGTATATCCCTCTAGCACGGCTGGATATTTTTGAAAATGTAAACCATAGTCTTTGGTGTACATCAAATACCCAAGCAGCCTTATAAGTGCTTTCCAGTGTTCTCTACCGGGATCTACAGAAAACCGGCTTAGCTTATTCACAGCTTGAGCTATATCGGGTCGTGTTCCATTCATGACATATGTTAAACATCCTATGACCCGAGGATAGTCATCTTGTGACACATTTTCTCCTCTGTTTTTTTGAGGTGAACACTGGAATCAAAAGGAGTTCTCATGGGTTTGATATCATACTTCTTGAATCTCTAAAGCATTTTCTCAATGTAGTGTGATTGAGATAATATCAACCCTTCAGGTGTTCTGATGATTTTAATTCCTAGAATCACATCAGCAACACCGAGATCCTTCATTTCAAATCTCCTGGCCAACATACTTTTGGTAACCTTTATCAAATTACTATTACTACCAAAAATGAGCATATCATCTACGTATAGACACACTATGACGTAGTCATTTTGATTGCCTTTCACGTACACGCACTTGTCAGCCTCGTTGATCTTAAATCCATTTGATAGCATTACACTGTCAAATTTATCATGCCATTGTTTGGGGGCTTGTTTTAACCCATAAAGAGATTTTACTAAGCGACAAACCTTTCTTTCTTGTCCGGGGACAACAAAACCTTCAGGTTGTTGCATGTAAATCTCTTCCTCTAAGTCACCGTTCAAGAATGCAGTTTTTACATCCATTTGATGGATTTCCAAACCCTTCAATGCAGCTATTGCTAATAACGTTCGAATTGAAGTTATTCTTGTGACCGGTGAGTAGACATCAAAGTAGTCAAATTCTCCTTTTTGGTTGTATCCTTTGGCAACCAATCGAGCTTTGTACTTTTCAATTGTTCCATCAGTTCTCCTTTTCTTTTTGAAGATCCATTTGCATCCTAGAGGTTTAGATCCAGGAGGCAAGTCTACCACTTTCCAGACGTGGTTAGACATGATGGAATCAATTTCACTTTTGATAGCCTCTTGCCATTGTACAGCGTCCGGTGAAGACATGACTTCTTTATAGGTTTGAGGCTCATCGTCTAGAAGGTACACAACAAATTCTGGTCCAAAATCTTTCGATTTTCGAGCCCTTTTGCTGCGTCCCACTTCACCTTCCTGCGTTATTTCGTTGTTATCTTTTATAGAATCAAACGGCCTCTAATGTGAGTTTGTTTCTTCAACATGGGTTGGAATGAAAACATCCATGTCGGAGGAGACAACTTCACAATCTCCCTTAAAAGGGAATACATTCTCAAAGAATGTAGCGTCTCTAGATTCTATAAAAGTATCAGCCAATATATCCATGTTATGGGATTTGTGGACAAGGAAACGATATGCACTACTATTTTGTGCATAACCAACAAAGACACAATCAATGGTCTTTGGTCCAAGTTTTGTCCTCTTAGGTTTGGGAATAGCTACTTTAGCTAGACATCCCCACACTTTCAAGTAATTAAAACTTGGTTTTTTCTCTTTCCATAACTCATATGGAATCTTGTGTGTTTTCTTGTGGGGCATTCTATTTAGAATGTAGTTGGCGGCTAAGACAGCATCCCCCCACAAGTTGTTCGGAGCACGAGAGCTAACTAACATGGCATTAACCATGTCCTTTAATGTTCTATTTTTCCTCTCGGCGATTCCATTAGATTGAGGTGTATAAGGAGCAGTAGTTTGATGAATTATTCCACTTTCCGAGCAGATTGGATCAAAGGGATACTCATATTCACCACCCCTATCACTCCTTAACACTTTAATCTTCCTCCCAAGTTGATTTTCAACTTCAGCTTTATAATGCTTAAAAGCATTAACAGCTTCATCTTTGCTATGTAGCAAATACAGATAGCAATATCTTGTGCTATCATCAATGAAGGAAATGAAATACCTTTTCCCCCCTCTAGTTTCTTCATACTTGAGATCACAAAGATCTGTGTGTATGAGATCTAGTGGTTCAGTTTCTCTAGTAATAGAGTGAAAAGGTTTTCTAGCCATTTTTGCTTCAACACAAATTTCACACTTGTGATTAGGATCAATATGACATTTAGGAAGCAATTCTAAATGCATTAATCTACGCAAAGTATCATAATTGACATGTCCTAATCTAGCGTGCCAAATAGAAGAAGACTCAACCAAGTAAGAAGAACCCACTTTATTATTATTAACAAGTTTGGGTACAACGGTAAGTACATTCATTTTGAAGAGACCATCATTGAGATAGCCCTTCCCTACAAACACATCATTCTTTGTAAGTACAAATTTATCAGCCACAAAGACAAGCTTGAAACCATTTTTGCTAAGGAGGGAGCCCGAAACCAGATTCTTGCGTATGTCAGGGACATGTAGCACATCGTTCAAAGTTAGAGTTTTCCCACTGGTCATTTTAAGGACAACTTTGCCGCGACCTTCTGCTTTGGATGTAGAAGAGTTACCCATAAATAGTTGTTCCTCGTTATCAACGGGTTGATAATCGGTGAACATCCACTTGTTAGCACAAATATGTCGGGTAGCTCCAGTGTCAATGCATCATTCTTTAGTGTTTCCCACTAAATTGCATTGAGATATCACGGCACATAGGTTCATTTCACCCATGTCATCAGAGAGGTCGTCCACAATATTGACTTGTCCGGTCTTCTTCTTCTTAGGAGCACGACAGTCCTTAGCACGGTGACCGGGCTTGCCACAATTATAGCACTTTCCTTTGAACTTCTTTGACGAAGGTTTCCCTCCACTTGTTCCTTCGTCATTGTGCTTTCTCTTCTTCCCTTTCTTGGATCCCGCTTCCACCATGTTCGCTTTAGCCTCCATGGAATTTGATCGTCCAGCCTTGTGCTCGGATTTGCGGTTATCCTCCTCTATCCTTAAACGGACAATGAGCTCCTCTAGGGACATTTCCTTACGCTTATGCTTCAAGTAATTCTTGAAATCTTTCCAATTGGGAGGTAATTTTTCAATTACCACCGCCACTTGGAAAGACTCACTAAGGGACATACCCTCAGCGTGAATTTCATGAAGGATAAGTTGGAACTCTTCAACTTGAGAAACAACCGATTTGTGGTCAACCATTTTAAAGTCCAAAAAATGCCCGACAATAAATTTCTTTTTGCCGGCATCCTCGGTCTTGTATTTTTTCTCAAGTGATTCCCACAATTCTTTTGCTGTTTTGATATCAGCATAAACACAATACAAGGAGTCATCAAGTCCGTTCAAAAGATAGTTTCTACACAAGAAATCAGAATGCCTCCAAGCATCAACCGCTGATACCTTCTCCAAATCAGTCTCACCTTCCTCTAAGAGAGGTTGATTCTCGGAGAGACACTTGGCCAAATTCAACGTTGTCAAATAAAATAACATTTTTTGTTGCCAACGCTTAAAGTCATGGCCGTTGAATTTAGCCGGTTTCTCCCCATGAGATGAACTGACCGGAAAGGCGGTGAGCGGATTTGCTTTGGGTAAAGTGATGTTTGTTTCGTTACTCATTCTGTTTATAGAAAACAGAAAATTGGAATTATGTAGATTAACAAAAATATACACAAATTAAAATTTAATAATTGCTTTTTAAAGGTGTATAAACGAAGTAAATATAATTGAACAGGATGATCAATTAGTGATGATAAAACTGCAGAGCATTAGTGACGAAAGATATGAGTCTCGTAAACGAATTGACAAATAGAAAATCATTCAAAATCTGCTATAGTGCTTTGCATGTGAATTTAAACATGTATATGCATGAATGTTAACTAAAAGTCTGAAACACGTATATGCAGACAAAAGTTGAAGTTGCTCATGTATCGAAATAATTTAAACTATTACTATAATGCGCCTATGCGAATTAGAAACAATTACAAGGTGTATGTGGGCAAAAGAATTCTCATGCACTAATATGCAGACATATAGGAAGCAGGAAATTTTCAAAAGGTATTAAACAACGAACAATAGAATGACGTAAATTTACACAGGACACGTAAACATATACCAAGTGTACTGAATCATGCGACTAGGAAGTCTAAAACGGTTATTAATAAATTTACGAACACAATAGTATCAACGAACACGCAGAACAAGAAAAAAAGATCGTCTTAAGTTGTTATCTACGTGTTCAATTAATAACATGGAAAATAGAAATAGAAACAATGAGTAAGGAGGAAAATGCATACGCAGTAAATCCGAGCCCAACAATGGCGTTGTCTCCTTAAGACGATTTTGCCCGACTAACGTAGCAAATGTCTCCCAGGATAGAACGGATTCGTTCCCGTTGACGGGACTCCGGCGAACTCAAAGATGCAAGGATTTTTCGGATGAGTAAGAAGGGCGAATGAGAGAGTATTTTTTTGATAGCAATCTACGGATTCCTCTTGTGCAAACTTCATTGGGTATTTATAGAGTTTTTGGCCAGGAAACTCTAACCCAAAGGGCACCTATTGAATGAAAGGTGATGACCTTTCTTTCAATTTGAAGAGTCATGCCTCTCCTGCAAAGAGATTAATCCAAAAAACGGAACAAAAATATATATAGTCTTTAAGAGGACTGTTTGACCGATCCCGGTCCCGAACCCGACCCGACCCGAGCCAGCCGACTTACGGCGGCATTGTGAGCGGGTTAAATATAATTTCACGCTTATCTTTCGGGGAACAATTTCTCATTCATTTCAGAATGGTTTTTCCAAATAATATTAATGACCATAATATTAATTTGTAAAACCATTTTTCCAACATTGCTATTTGAGGTATGATGACACCAACCCGGAAGCTGAAAAGAAAGAGTATATTGATCATATTGAAGAAATTGTTAGATAGATGGGATGGGAACCCTTTAAGATTACTTACACTAGTGACTATTTTCAAGAACTTTATGAGCTTGCAGTGGCATTGATACAAAATGGTCATGCTTAAGTTGATGACCAGACACCTGAAGAGGTAAAAGAGAACAGCCCTTCGAGGGACCGGCCTATTGAAGACTCTTTAAGACTGTTTGATGAAATGAAGCATGGCATGAGGAAAGAGGGCGAATTCACACTATGGATGAAACAGGATATGCAAAGCGATAATGGGAACATGTATGACTTGATTGCTTATCGTATCAACTTCACTCCACACCCACATGCTGGGGATAAATGCATATACCCAAGTTATGATTTCGCCCATTGCATAGTCGATTCTCTTGAAAATGTAACTCATTCGCTGTGTACTCTTGAATTTGAGACCCGTCGTGCTTCATATTACTGGTTATCGGATGCTCTAGGCCTCTACAAACCCTTTGTATGGGAGTACTCACGTTTGAATATTACTAACAATGTGATGTCGAAGCGTAAGTTAAAGAGAGAATTAACCTAATAGGACTAAAACTTGGAACAAATGCAAAAATAGGACTCCTATGTTTAAATTGCAAAACTAGGACTACAAATTACCTAATAGGACAAAAATACCCTTAATGATTATCGATCCAGTACTTAACCGGCAGACTAGAATTGACGATAATATTGCTGCATACATCTGATCGACAGGTCCGGTAGAAAATCCATTGCAGCGCACCGTCCAGGTGATCTCTTTTTCCTCTTTCCATTCTTCTTCCTTCTCCTTCTTTCTTCTTCTTCGTTCTTCTTCCTCATGTTCTTCTCATCTTCTTTTTCCAGATCCTTGTTTCTTCATTTTTCAATTTGTTTATTGTTAATTCATTTACTATTTTAGATTATAAATCAAAATACTGCTTTGGATATGACAACTTGAGATAAAAACGTCAATTCAACAAACGGTCATGATCAGAAATATTTGGATTTGGGTTTTTATTACTTTTTTTGGTTTTTGATTAGATATGTTTATGAAAAGGCCATAAATTCTTGTTATTAGAAAAAATGTCACTTTTATGTCATTATATTATATCAAGATGTCAATATTTTAATGACATGTTTTAACTGGATTGCCAAATTTTGTCATTTTTAACAATATTATTTCTGAAAATTCCATGATGATGGAAGTTTCATATAAAAACATGACATTCTCTCATATCAAGTGGCATTCCTCAGGGAGGTCTGCACAAAGTCACTGGAGGGCAGATCTTTTGTCAATTTTATGTCATTACAATATTTGAAAATGTCATATTGAGAATGTCATGTTTCTACCTGAACAAAAACAGAAGTATGTCATTTTTTAACATTCAACCTATCCTTAAATGTCATATAAAAAATAAACATGTCAATTTGTAAAAAATGATATCTTGTTTACTGTGATGTTAAAATAATGTTAGCATTTTGGAATAGAAAGATGACAATACATTTGTTACAACATGTCATTTTTGAGCAGGTCAAAACTGTCATCATAACAAATGCAATACCATAAAAGTAGCATTATTTTTAAATGACACTATTTTGTCAAACGGGCAAAAACATGACATTTCTTATATTTTAACTTCAAGGTGACCTTGTCATTTTAATGTATTTGTGACATTTTTCAATTCAATTTTAAATAGTTATGAAATTTTCAAATTCTAAAATAAAAAATAAATTAAAAATCCAATAAAAAAAGTTCGAACACTCCAACCTTGTTCAATTCTCATCCCCTCCAACTAACCTTATTTAATTGCCATCCAATTTATCAGATCTAATTGAATCCCAAGAGACAAAAACAGAGTACGGCCAACAAGGAAACGAAAGAGAGGAGAAGAGAGGAGAAGAGAAGAGAAGAGAGGAGAAGAGAAGAGAAGAGAAGAGAAGAGAAGAGAAGAGAAGAGAAGAGAAGAGAAGGAGAAATTACTTGATTCCATGGGTAAAATTGTAGAAGGCTGGCGGAGATGGAGAAGACTGGCGGTTGCTATGGCTAGTGTACCAACGAGCAGCAGATACGGTTGTGGTACCGATGAGTGGCGGCGGCGGCAATGGAAGACTAGAAAACCGCTGGAGAACTTGTAGATCATGACCTGAGGTCTCTGATGAGGAAGGAGAGAACACCTCTTAGTCCCCAGATTGCTAATTTCTAATATGTCGGAGGCGGTGATGTCAGATTTAATTAGGGAAAGGGCAAAAATGTAATCTGGAGTCCTATTTAGGGATAAATAAACTTATACTCCTATTTTGGAGTTTAGTCAATGTTTTAGTCCTGTTTTGGATAATTTCTTTAAGTTAAACCGTCTTGTAACTGAAAAGTGGGTTGATGGATGGGATGATCCTCGTCTGATGACCCTGGCTGGTTTGCGTCGTAGGGGTGTGACTCCAAGTGCAATTAATGATTTTGTGCGTGGTCATTTGGAAGTCTTATATCCCTCCGAAGTTCTCATTCAACGCTTGGCTTGCTATGAGGAACCGGTTACCTACGCAGGATAGCCTTGGTTACCTCCATATTGTTAATCGTTGTGACCTGTGCAAGGGTGGATTGGAAACAATACCACACCTATTTTTTCGTTGTCATTACACCTGTAGGGTCTGGGAAAAAATTAAGGAATGGTTGGGGATGAATCGAGAGATGACCACGCTATGCAGCTCTGTGAAATGGATTTTTAAGGATCATAAGGGTTCAAAGATCAAAGGGAAGGCTGTTCGGATTGCGTTTGGTGCCGCGGTTTACTACCTTTGGCACGCTAGAAATGCCAACCGATTTGATGAAAAGGACGTGAAGGAAGAGGAAGTCATTGCAAAAGTCAAGCATGTGGTGTATAAAATACTTTCCAATTTATACCCGCATGACTTGATCACATTCTGAGTAGAAGGCCGGAGATTGGATATTATGGAGGCCGCGGTTTTTGGTTTGACCGCTACATGTTTGCTTGGAGCGCCGATGCATGGACATTATGGATGCCACAGCTTGACACTTGATACGACGCGGCATGGACATTATGGATGCCGCGGCATGTAGCATGATCTTTGATATTATGGTGTTTGTTTTACTGGCACCTTTTGTACTTTCCTTAGAATTTAGCCTCTGATCTGTGTGCATGCATTTGCAGCACTGATGTATTTTTTTGAACTTCTTGATGAGCCGGGTTTTTGGCATTGAATAGATCGAATAAAAACCTCCTTTCACCCACACATTATGTGGGGTGGGGGAGGTTTTAGGAGATCTAGAACATGTGATGTATAGTTTTTCTGGGTGTTAATATATATTTACATTTCATCCAAAAAAAAATGATTTTGTGCGTGGAATTGGGATCACCAAAAGTGACCACAGCCTGATACGTTTGGACCTCCTTGAGTATCAAATTAGAGAAGAACTGAACACAACAACACCTCGGGCAATGGTCGTACTTAATCCACTAAAGGTGGTCATAACAAATATGGAAGCTGGCTTAGTGTTGGATCTTGATGCGAAGAGATGCCTGATGCACAAACAGGCATAAATCAAAAGATGACAATACAATTTCAACATACAATACCATTAATTATTTCTATTTAGGAGAGAAATATATTACATCTATTTTGAAATATAATATTGTTTTTACTCTGGAAATATAAATTGAAATTTCCATTTATTCAAACCTTGTTTAATCAAACACTTCATTTGAGTTATTCTTTCCCGAAATACATGTACAGTACAAAAAGTTTGGAGTATATCTTACCTAGAGTAAAGAGGTTGCCGGAAGGGATGGGGGACAACTGAAAATGGCTCAAAATGAGCCTGCACTAAATTTGATTAAAAGTGCGATAAATAAAATGATATTGTTTGCCACCACGAAAAAGCGCAACAACAACGTGCAAAAGTGCAACGCGGTGTGGAAAAAGTAACCGTTCGCACTAGGGCTGGACTCGAGCCGGTTCGGGCCCAATTCGGGCCTGGGCCCGGCCTGGCCTCGGGCAAGGAAAGGGGAGGCCCGAGCCCGAACCGCCGGTGGCCGGTTCCGGTTCCGGGCCAAACCGGGCCGAACCGGCCCAATTTTTTTTTGTTCTCCTATTTAATCCCCTACCCCTCCCCCTCAACCCCAAACCACCCCAAACCACCTCAAATGGCCCAAAATACCTAATCCAACCTAAAACTTAAAAAAAATTCAAAAAAAAAAAATTAAAATCCGGCCCGGACCGGGCCCGATTCACCAAAACCTGGGCCCGAGCCCGGACCGCCCAGCACCCGGGCCGGGCCAAACTGAACCGGTGGACCCACCGGGCCACGGGCCGGGCCGGGCCAAACAGTGACCGGGCCGGTTCGGTCCCGGGTCGGGCCGCCCCGCCCGAGTCCAGCCCTAGTTCGCACTTTGCACGGAAACACCTCTTTTTATTTGACCCCCTACTCTAAAATGTGGAAAATCACTCTTTTTAGGCCAAAACAAGCTGCAATCAAAACAATACTCGCTCTTTTTGGGATCGGAAAGACTATTTTATTTTGGATCCATTAGTTCGGCAAAATTTGCTACCGAAGAATTTGACCTTTTCTTTTTTATTCATCACACTTTCAGTCACATTGCTTCTACATAAAGATAACACCAAATATAGAAATCAACCTATTCCAAAGTTAATCATTTGAAACATATAAAAGCATTACTG